TTATATATTATAATTTATAAAATTTATTTTTTTAAGATACCATTAATTTTTATATATATTTATTTTAAATTATTTTATATTTCGAACAATAAATATTCGAACACGAACTAAAAAAAATTGTTCGTGTTTGGTTCGTTTAACTAATCGAGCGAAAAAAATTGTTTATGTTCGTCTCGTTTATTTATCGAACGAACCGAACACGAACTCCTCGACAAATCAAACATGAACTGCTCGCGAACAATGAGCTTCTTTGACAGCCCTATTCAACAACACGTGCAATATTTATTCCTTTCCCAACAAAAAAAAAAATTAACAGAAAATAATATTTTTCCCAAAGTCCATGGGATCTAGAATTTTGAATCTAGACACGTTGGTGTCCAGCTGAAAAAGGAAACCAAAAGCTGGGCAGCCAAATTCCACCAGCCCCCAATCCTCACCCACCATCCGCAACTTCCCCACCACAACATCAAAGCGAGTCCTCTTCTATTCCCAGTACCCGGGGTTTCTCAAATAGAAGAAAACGCGTGTTCTTCAGACTCCAAAGCCAGCCAAATTCGAAACGGCATGCGTGCTAATATTAACCTCCTTCTCTCTCATCAAGTTTTATAATTCCTCTACAGCAATAGCTTGTTTCATGTTCTCCGTCTCCTCCTCCTTCCCTCTCCTCTCCTCTTCTTTGCTGCTATTCGCTTTTACGTGGCTTTAATGGCTTCGGCCTCAGTGAAGAGATGGTTGAGGCCTGAGGTATCCAATTATTCTTAGAATTTTCCTTTTTTCTGTGCTTCAGATTAGGTTTATTTGTGGATATATAAAATTTGGGGAAGATTTTGGCGTTTTATTGATGTTATTGTTTTGATTGAATGGTTAGGTCTATCCGCTATTTGTAGCAGTTGGAACAGCTGTAGGTATTTGTGCTCTGCAATTGATGAGGAACATAACGACTAATCCTGAAGTCAGGTATGATCGATTTTAAGAGTATGTTTTATTCAGGGGCATTTACATACTTTTTATAATTTATGTATCTCAAATCTAAAATTTCATCTTTTTTTAAAGCGAAATACATTAAGAATTATATGCTAGGCATGCAAATGCGTAGGTTTACTGTTAATTAGATGATTTTATATCTAATTAACACTAATCTAACAAATTAACATACCGGAATACATTAATTCTAATTAGTTCTGAAATCTGGTAAATTTCTTATGTAACATATATCTTAAAAAACATAATGATTTTAAGACAAATTTAAATAAAAATAAGATCTGAACATATTTATATGATTTTTTATCCAAATAAAAACACTTAAATAGAGTGATTTTTATGAGTTTTTTTTCCTGAGCTTATTGAATAATCTGGTGATAAGCAGATTAAAAATAATCTGTTGATAAGTTATGTGCGGTGAGTATTATAAAATTTTATTATTTTGGAAAAGTCAGACACCGCATCTAAGATAGGTGTAGTGTGAAAAAGACTATTTTCAGCATTTTTAAAATGCATAAGCTTCCAAAACACACTTTACCCAAATAGTCTAGGCGTTTTCAAAACGACATCGCACTAAATAAGCTGCCCCAAAAGGACCCTTAATAGAATTGAGATCATCCATATTTTTAAACAATATTAATTATATATAAATAAATTTGTATAACCAATTTAATTAATGAAACAGGGTTCTCAAGGAAAATAGAAAAGCCGGAGTGTTCGATAATCATGCGGAAGGGGAGAAATATGCAGAACACGGCCTGAGAAAATACGTGCGGAATAAATCACCTCAAATCATGCCGTCTGTGAACGGCTTCTTCTCCGAGCCAAATTAAAAGGGAGATTTCTTATTGCTGTTTTGATTAATTATAATTGCTGCCGAGTTCTCTTCTGGTTTGGTTTGTAATTTCAGTTTGTGTGGGGGTTGTGCACTAATTGTAATTTGGAAATTATTATTATTTTTGGAGGTGAAAATCTTAATAAGAAATTGTACTTCAATTATTTCGTGTATTTTGATCCAAAATTGGCTTGATGTTATATGAATATTTGGACGAATTTTTCATTTATTTTATTTTATTTTATTTTATTTTTTTTTTT